CTCTTAAAAGACCAAAAAAAAAAAAAAAAAAAAAAAACTGTATCCATTTGCCGCAGAAGATCTGGTTCACCTCTTAGAATGATTATAAAATGTCATCAGTATAAAATGTTTTCATTGCTTCTTCAGAAGGTCCTAATTAATTTGGAGCTGAGGAGATAGCTACACAAGTGTGAGAACTTGAGTTGGATCCCTAGCACTCACATAAAAGCACACGCCTATGATCCTAGGCCTCATGAGCTCACTGCCACGATAGTCTAGCTGAAATACTGAAGGAGTTCCAGGTCAGCTGGGGCTAGACAAAAGACCGAAAAAAAAAAAAAGATTTACTTTATGATTCTGCATGGCAGGAAATTGACTGTGGCTCATCAGGATAAAGCATTAAAATGGCAGAACTTTGAGTGCTCTCTATTTTATATTTAAATCAGAAGGTACTATTGGAAAGTGTATAAAAACTTGGAGGTGAAATTGTAATACTTAACAAAGTTGAGTGTAGAAAAATTGCTTAAAGAATCTGCATAATATAGCTCTCTCTCTCTCCTCAAGAGAAAGGAAAAGGCTATCTGTAAGGCACGTGTAGATCATATGAAAAGTATAGTTCGTTCACTTGAAAGTATTTTGTGGCTGCCAGGTCCTGAGTAAAACTCAGGACTTCGCTCAGGACTTGGCTATAAAGAGTTCAAATGTAGAGAAAAGCCATTTCAATTTGAAATACAAATGCTAACACCCGTCAGTCCCACTTACCACAATGAGGGAAGAATGAAGCAAAAGCCTATTATTTTATTTTTATGTTGTGAAAAGATCCTAACATGAGGGTGGCCTTTCTTAAAATTATCACTCCAAATTAACACCTTTCTAACACTGAGAAGACAGTCATCTGTGTACATAAACAAAAGAAAGAAAATACCTTTGTCCAAATGAAACAAGAGGCTCTGTGGAGAGAATGTAACAAGATTAAGGTGTATAATATAGATTGTGAATTGTTCTTCTTCAAAGTATAGTTACCCCAGATTTTTTATTGACTCCTTCTTTTGTATTTATTTAAGAAAGTGTCAAATTGAACAGTCTTTCTCACTGTTCTGTATCCTCCAGGGAGCTGTATTTGCAGAAGCCATATATTGTACATAGTCATTCACTGTTTAATATTTTCAAACACTTGCCTAAAGGGCTTATGTGAATGTACAGATTTAATGTAATATAGCACATTGGAGGATGGGCTTTATAGGACAAACTTTTAAAAACAGAACTGTTTACATTTATCTTCAGCTTCTGCTTTTATAACACAAATACACATACAGTTAAAGTGTTATTTTATGTTTTCTATGTCAGTATTAGTGCTCTGCTGTCTCTTCAAAGAGGTCCTCAAATTCAAAATGGTGTGTGTAGGTTTTTGGAGGTCAGGGGTGTTGCCTTTTATTTTCCACCAATAAAATGTTCGGAGAACTTACCTTCTTTATTTTACAGCACAAGCCATAAAGTTGTTTGGGATAGAATGTTTCTGAGTTTTCTGAAATCTGTATTCGACAGATATGTGCTTTTAAACATGGAAGGGTGCAGAGTACATGTCATTTATACTTGTGTCTTACAGTGAAGTTAGAAAACATCATGACTGATGAATTTTAATTGGTTAAGCCAATATTAGATTTTAAATAAATTTATAAAACTGCCAACACAAAAGTATAATTCTTATCTCAAAAGGGATAAGAGAGTTTATTCTGAAGCCAAATATGAGTAACAGATTCAGGTTACTCCAGATTCCATGTTCCAGCATGGTAGCAGTTTCCTATAGTTTTTATAGTAAACAGAACAAAGAAAACTCATAAATCAAGACACTTTTCAAATACATCGGTGGATACATTCGGTAGTCAGGTCATACCAAAGCAGGAAGAAAATTCTCTAGGTCTCAGATGATATCTGATGATATTCTTCACCTTTTGGTTGGTGGGAACAGAACTGATTCTTTGTTAAGCTAATACATTCTATTAGTCACAGGATGTTAAGGTCAGAAACAGTGGTGGGCAAGGAGTGGCTGTTTGGGGGCTAAAGATAACCCTGAGATAAATGGTAATTAGACTCTGGACCTACAACATTCCAAACTCTCCACAGTCTCCAGAGTGATAATCAGTTGGTCTGCCTTCCAGGAAGCTCAGTCCAAGGTGCAAGAGTTCTTTGGGGGAACTATTCTTTCACACTGGGGTAATGGCTTTTCCACTAGGACAACCGTCTGAAGCTCGCCAATGAACACAGGCACCTTGGTCCCCTTTGCTCCCCCAACCCCATCCAGGCACCAACCGCCCATTCCTCTGCTGGTCCCCACCGTCCCCGACTCCCATTTCATATCTTTCTCTGGTTTTATTTGATTCATAAACTGAGTTTCAAGACGTTCCTTGCTACTTAGTTAATAATTTTTCCTCTGTCATATTGACATTTTTTCATATAATTTGTTTATTTTGTTGCCTGTCAGTTTGGGTGGGGGTTTTGTTTTGTTTTTTGAGACAGGGTCTCCCTGTAACCCCAGCTGGCCTGGAACTCACTTTGTAGACCAGGGTGGCCTCGATTGCACAGAGATCCGCCTGCCTCTGCTTCCTCAGTGCTGGGATTACAGGTGTGTGCCACCACACCCGGCTACCTGTCAGTTTTATTGGCATAAAATTGATCATAATTATTATTTTTGTTTCTGGAGTATCTAGTAATATTTTTATTCCTAATATTAACTTACACTTTATCCATTTATACAGTGTATATACATCCACCCCACCTCCCTCCAACTCCCCTTAGTACTCCCCACCCTGTCTCCCAACTTCAGGTCTTCATTTTTTCATTATTACTATATCATTCATATAAAATGCTTTACTAAGCATTGAAAACTATAATTTTGTACATAGTTATTGTTATAGCTGCACTGAATACATTTTTATATGTTTTCATTGACTTCTAGTTCAAAATACCCTAGTGTGAATTTGTTTGTTCTCTTTTTGTTTTTCTGCTTGGACATGATTAATCATCTTAGGTTGGTGGTTTTATAGTTTACAGATATGCAATTTTTCACAGTTTGTCATATGCCATTCCCATTCTGTATTTTTGTATTCTAATTATACATTTATTCATTTGTGTATTGCCCTGTTGATCACTGAAATGCTGATTGGTCTGGTTTGGGTTTTTTGTTGTTTTTTTTTTTTTCCATTGCCTCATCTAGTTTTCATTGTTGTATCCATCCAGTAAATTTCTCGTTTCAAATACTGTGCCTTTCTTATTTACTATTTACTTCAATTATTTGAATGTAATTATGATATCCTACTTTAAAAGTTCTCATTTGGTGTTTCCATTGTCTTACTCATCACTGAATCTCTTTGTGTTTTATTCATTTTTCTCCCCTGGTATATCTCATTCATGGTTTTTTAAGTGTTGAATATGCTTTGACAAAATGTTTTGTTTTGTTTTTTTCAGGAAACCTTGATTCTGTTGACCTTTTTCTCTTAAGTTTTATTAGAGTAAATCTAAAGTAGCAGTCATGAAACTTGCTGTAAATGACCACTGTAAGAATTTAAGGCTTCATAGTCCAGGCAAAATGTGGCTGCTCTTTGATTCTGCCACCTCACTTAAAAGGAAGCCAGGGACAGTGTATAGACAAATAACCATGGCTGTGTTCCAGTAAAACTTAAGTACAGGAAAAGATAAGACTGGGAATAGAGCTCAGTGGTAGAGCATTTGCTTAGCATGCACAAGGCCCAGCACCACATTCTCCCCCTGTGCAAATAAAGACAGGTTCATAGAGCTCACAAACTATAGTTTGTTATTGTCTGGTATTCCCTTGGAAGATTCCAAACCAATTTATAAATTCAGATCACTGAGTAGATAAATCCCTAATTTGTCTTTCTAGTTCCCTTCAAAAATACTCTCGTATAGAAACACTCTGATTACTCAGAAAAGATGCTTGAACTCTCAATGAATTCTGCAGTACCTACCTTACTATTTCAGGGAAAATCCCCAGCTAGCAAATGGTCTATGAATGTGTTGCCTGCATGTATTTAAGTGCATTCATGTCGTGCAATGCCCACAGGTGCCAGAAGAGGGCATCGGATCCTCTGGAACTGGAGTACGGGCAGTAGTTAGTAGCTTTGTGGGCACAGGGGACTGAACCCAGGTCTTCTGCAAGAGCATCCAGTGCTGTTAACTGCTGAGCCATCTCTCCAGTCCTTCAAATTCTTGATAAAACTATGACCTTTGATTCTCTGGCCACTGACTAATTATAATCACAGTAAAAATGCTGCAATAGCCAAGTATGGTGGCACATGCGTATTTAGTCCTAGAATTCGGGAGGCAGAAGCAGGCAGGTCTCTGTGAGTTCAAGGCTAGCCTGGTCTACCTAGTGAGTTCCAGGCCAGCTGGGGCTACAGGGAGACCCTAACTCAGAAAGACCAAAAAATAAAAACCTCTGGAATAATAGAAGAAATTATTTCTTTACTGATATGCCAGTAATAACAAAATTAACAATTTTCAAAAGTAGCTTTACTTAAAAAAAAATATCAAAAGAGTTTAAAAAGAAGTATTTGTAAGACACAAATTTCTTACATCGTTTCAAGGAAACTAAAATTTATAATTCAGCTTGACTGAATTCACATTCCTACCATACAGACCAAATGTTTTATTTCTTCTCCTAATCACCTTGGTTCTCTAGTTTATTTCAACCTTTTTTTTCCTCTTAGCCTTCCTTATATGGCAATCTTTTCCTTTATTTTTTATGTTCAAAAGTTTTTTTACTCTATTTCTAATTCATTATTATTCCTAAAACTTAAACTTTAAAATTACTGTTTTTTTCTTAAAACCCATAGCTAAAAGTTTGTGAAAAGTTGGCTCTTTCCTTTAGATTCCATTGATATGAAGTTAAAAAAAAAAAAAAAAGGATGAAGAAGGAACTCTTTTGAACTGCCCTCCAAGGATTTTTTTTCTATTCTTTAAAAGCTCTTATTTTTTTTTGTTGTTATTGTTTTGTTTTTTTCTAGGAGTCCAATGTGCTGATTGCTGCCAACAGCCAGGGTACAATTAAGGTAAGCTATTTTGTAATCTATTTTAAACTCAAATCCATTTTTATACTATAATAGAATCATAGAAAAGTACAATTGTTCTGAGCCTTTGAGATTATTCCAAATTATGACTCTCCGTCCTTGGAAATGGCTTGATTGATTGAAGGGGAAAGGAATGGGTAGTTTGCAACTTTAGAGAAGATGGCAATAGTCATTGAGGCTGTACGCTGGATGGCTTGATAGATGGTCAGATGGAAAAGCAGATTAAACATTCACTGTGCACCAAACACTGTTCTGCTTCTCTTGTACCAGTGCAACCCTACCATGGGCCCTTAGTAGACAGTCCAGGTACATGATGGGAAATCAGTGCTTATATATTTGCTACCTTTAACCATATTTTACTCTCTTCTATGGCAAGTAGGTTTTTCCTTCTTTGCTAAAATTGAGAAGTATGATCATACCATTGCTGTAATTTCAAATTTGAATGTCCCCTGGCACACAGTCATTCTGAGTCACAAACTCATAGTTTTCCACATAATAAGTTAAAGAAAAATGAGCTGTTATACACCTTTACTTGGGAGACAGAGACAGGCAGATCTCTGTGCAATTGTGAACAACCTGGTCTACTTAGTGAGTTCCAGGCCATCTGGGGCTACAGAGAGCCCCAGTCTCGAAAAGACAAAAAAAAAGAAAAGTTCAAGAAAATAAAAATTTTACTGAGTCTCATTCCATTTAGTATTTAACCTTTGAGTATAACACATTAGATTAATAAATCTTGAGCTAAGCAGTAAAATTCATAAGCAGAATGCTGTTTGAGTAGAGTCTAGTTTGTGTCTCCAAATGTTCTTCAGTGTGAGTTCATTTGCTGAAGCCTGGTCAACCTACCAAGAGTCCCATGCTTGAAAAGGACTGTCTGCCCCTCCCAGCAGCCATCTGTTACCACAGTTTCCTTAGGTGGGGTTGGAGCTTCTTACCCACTTCCTCATGTCTGTGCTCGGATTTTTTACTGGTTTGAGCTTGTATGGGACTTTTGCATGCTGTCACCATTTATTGCTGTGAGTTCGTTTGAATAATTCACCAGCTGTCTGGAAAACTTTTTTCCTTGTGGTCATCCACTACCTCTGGTTCTTAGTCTTTTTGCTCCCTGTTCTGCAGTGATCCCTGAGCTTTGGGAGGTAGAAGTTTGATATAGGTGTCCTATTCAGAGAGCAGCACTCTGTAGCCCCTTGTTCTCTGTACATTGGCCAGTTGTAAGTTTCTGTGTTAATCACAATATCTCTTGCATAAGGAAACTTCCCTGGTGAGAGTTAAGAGATACATTAATCTATGGGTATAATAAGTCATTAAGAGTCTATTTAAAATGATAACTAGTAGAAAAACTAATATTGGGCTCTCCCCTGTGTCTTGTGACCTATTTAGCCTCAAGTTCCTAAGCCTGTTGTTATTGTCAGATATGGCCTCCATCCTAGGAAGTGAACCTTAAGTCCAATTAAAGAGTTTGGTTATTCCTATACTGTTTGGGCCACTATTTGCACCAGTGGGCATCTTTTCCCAGGCCCATTGTTATTGTGGTTCACAGGCTTCACAGCTGGGAGAGGTTGATGATCATTTTTTCCTTTCAGTAGCTTACATAACACCTTCCAGCACTATGAACACTAGCCAATAGAGATGAGGCTCTGAAGTCAGCACCACCTTGATTTCTCCTTGCTTGTTGTGTAGCTTGTGTCTGTAGTGTCTTCAGCAACAGTCTGACCATCTAGTTCTGGTGGATAACCAAGAGTAGGAGCAATGGCCAGTATTGTTTGAGGGCCTATGGGACCTTCAAACTGGGCAACAGCTTCTAGAAAGAGAGTCCATTTCTGGTATTGAAGTTTTTGTTTTTGTTTTCATTAGCCTATCATGTCTAGAAAGGACAATGTCCCCATAAACTTTTATGATTAAATCTTGAGATTTTGTTTAGCAGCATTGACCTGTCATGTTATGATTATGTCATAACTGTGACCCTACCTAATATAAATACAAAAGGCATTATGGAGCACAGATATATAGGTCAAGGAGAGGAAAAGTTGCACCTTTAAATCTTTGCTATCTAAAATTGCAGTGCCCGTGAAACAGTCCTCTTTGACAGGGTCTCATAATTATCTTCGTGTTTTCTGTCCTTTCTTAGCCATTTGCTTCTTTGTTTTCCCATTTTTAATCTTAGCACTGTTACAACTTTTATGGTATGATAATGCCTTAACATTTAAAAGCCAAGAAAATGTCTTGACACTGGACGATTGTCATTGAAAATATAAGAAGCAACAGGAAAAGGCAACATCGTATATTCTCTATACCTTGATCACTAGTGTTCAGTGAGTATTTGAACAAACTGGTGCTTATCAATAGAAGAAATATATTAAAATCTTTAACAATAATATTTACTTTTTCTTAGAAATGTAGCAAGATACCAACAGGTACTCTAAAAATATTCTCTCCATTCCTCACATTAGCCTATTCTTACCCATAAGTTCTATGTAGTTTACTTCAAAGTTTCCCTAAACGGGTCAGTAACTGTCTGAAAATGTCCATGCAGTGCTTGAATTGAAAGAAAGAATTAGCCAGGCGTGGTAGGGACACGCCTTTAATCCAAGCACTTCAGAGGCAGCGGCTGGCAGATCTCTGTGAGTTCCAGGCCACCTGGAGCTACGGGGAGACCCTGTCTCAAAAAGACCGAAAAAAAATAAAGGAAGGATGGATAGATGGAGATCTGATTCCTTCCAATTTTTTGGCATTATACCAGTTGCTTGTATTTTCATATGGTTCCCGGTGGGGTAGTAAGTATAATAAAGCTTCATTAAAACTATTTTGTTAAACTCTTCCTTTTGTTTCTCCCAATTAGGTGCTAGAGTTGGTATGAAGGGTCTACTGAAATCAAATTTTACTTGTTCTTCCTGAAATCCATCTGCAGCTGACAGAAAAGAAAGAAATGACATTTGATGTCTCTCCCAAAGTCAAAGTCATCATGGGTTCTGATACTGTTTCC